TTCCATGGTGCCTGCTGTAATCCAGACTTGGGGGGGAGACAGGAGATGCAGGAGCCCCAGGTCATCTTCAACTACATAGCAAGTTCGGGCCATCCTGGACCAGGGAGACCTTGTCACAAACAACAGCAGAAATCTAAATAAAGCAAAAGGAATGTTTATTTCAGGGTTCCAGATTTTATCCCAGTAACTAGATGTCTGTCCTCATGGTAGTACCACATTGTCCTGATAGCTGGGTTTTGTGTAGCAAGTTGAAATTGTAAAATGTATGTCCTTGAACTTGTCTTTTATCTTTTATATCTGCATGTATGTCTGTGCACCATGTGTGTATGCCTGTTTGCCATGTGTGCATGTACGTCTGTTCGTCATGTGTGCCTATATGTCTGTGCACCAGGTGTGTGTCTCCTGCGCTCAGAAATCAGAAGAGAACATTGGATCCCCTGAATTTGGAGTTATGGGCACTTGTAAGTTTGGATGTGGGTGTGGGGACCTGCATCGAGGTAACCCAGAAGAGCAGCCAGGCCTCCTAACTGCTGAGCCTTCTATCCAGCCCCTTGGATTTTCTTTTGGTAATGATGACTCTAGGTTCTGTGCATTTCTGTATAATTTAGAATCAATTTGTCAGTTTCTACAAAGGCCTGCTGGAATTTTGATGGGAATTGCATTGAGTCTGCCATAGTTTGGCAAGTGTTGTCTCTTGCTTGTCTTCTAAATCGTGAACATGAGCTGTGCCAATGTTTATTTACATTCTTTTAAAATTTTTCAGTAGTTCCTTATGCCCTTCAGAGTGTGAGCTTTATGTTTGTTTTCATTTTTCCCTCAGTTTTATTATTATTATTATTGATGCTGTTGTAAGGGGCATTGTTTTCCTAAGTTATTGTATAGAAATGCAATTGGTTTTGTTTTATACCTTGATCTCTTTGGTTTGGTTGGTTTGGATTTTTGTTTTTGTTGTTGTTATTGTTGTTGTTGTTTGAGACAAGGTTCCTCTGTGTCCTGGAACTTGCTCTGTAGACCAGGCTGGCCTCAAAATCACAGAGATCTGCCTGCGTCTGCCTCCTGAGTGCCAGAATTAAAGGTGTGCACCACCGCCATGGCTATACCTTGATCTTTTATCTTGCAACATTGATGAGTGCATGAATGCTAAATTCATGTAGTATTAGGTTTTTAGTGTATTCCTTGGGGTTTTCTGTGTCCATGATCCTATGATATATGAGTAGAGATGCTTTTACTTCTTTACATTTTATTTATGTGTAACCTTGTATTTTCTGTATTAGTGGATGCCATGTGAGTGGGATGCCATGAGTGGTCAGAAAGACCAGAAGTGGGCACCAGATCCCCTGGAACTGGAATTAGAGGAGGGTGTGAACTGCCCTCTGCAGCCCGCACACTTTACCTGGGCCCTGGGATGGCACTAGGAGGCTAGCTTGTGTGGGAAGTGCTTCCACATGTGGGGATGCATGCTTTGCACCCCGTTCATTCTTGATTTGAGCAGCTCTTGATTTTAATAACCCAGGTGGTTTTTCTTAGCATCTGTCAGTGCAGTGGATGCCTTAGGGGGCATTTGCCTTTGTTGGTTTGAAAGCTCCTTATTCTACGCCCCCCCCATCTTTATTCTTTCATAGTTTTCAAATCACATTGTCACCATAATGTAGTCAGGGGATTTCTTCATGCCTTTCTCTTTTCAAGTGAGAAAGGGAAGCATGGTAAGCCCAGGTGTTTTCCCACCAGCCCCGCAAAATGTGATGCTGAATGTGTCTTCCTATAACTTAGGACAGAAGACAGCTAACAACATAGTCAACTGGAGTTTTTGTTTTTTTGTCATATCTGAGATGAATTTCCCAGGAGGTGAGTGTTGGCTGCAGCCTCAGTTGGTGCTTGTTTGTTTCTGGATATAAGTGGTTTCCTTCCTGTGGTAAATATGGTAATGCTACGAAGCCCTCCTGTGTGCTGAGCCTGTGCCTCACTTAGTCTACACTAGAGTTCTGCATATGTGTAATGGAGGGAAGGGAAGAGAATGAGTTTGCTAATTCCTTCCTTACTGTTGAGCTTCAACTGTGTTCCTACTTCACAAGTTCACAGTCTTGCTTTTAGGAAAACAATTATTTAATGCAAGTTAGAGAGGAGGATGGCAGAAGCTAAGAAAAATAATACTTAGACCCTGCTTTTGTTTTTATAGTTTCAATCTCTTTGGTGCAGTGGGCTAGCCATACCCTTGGTGAAATTTGGGGAACCCTGGGAGGTGGTGTGGACCGTATATGGGGACATGATGGTCTCCCCTTTGCAATGCTTTCCTTTTGGGTTGGCCAGTGGGCAAGTCTGTGGGGATTGTCCACATTGGGTTGGCCAGTGATCCTGTCTGTAGGGCGTGTCTTAATTGGCTTAGTTGATATGGGAAGACTCAGCTCATTGTGGGTGGTGCCATTCCCTGTGAAGGGGGTTCTGAATGTGTTGAAAGTGGAGAAATCTGTGGGGCTGGAGAGATGGTTCAGCAGTTAAGAGCACTGGCTCTTCTCCCAGAGGCTCGGAGTTTACCTCCCAGCAGCCACATGGTGGCTCACAGCCATCTATCTATAGAGAGATCTGATGTCCTCTTTTGGGATGAAGGTGTGCATGCAGATAGAGCACCATAAAATAGATAAATAATAAATAAATAAATAAATCTTTTTAGAAATGAGTGGAGAAATGAAGCTGAGAACTGGCAGTGAGCGTGATGTGTTTTCCTTGCCCTTGACTGTACTTGTGATGAGTGAGCAGCCATCTCAGTCAAGCTCCTGCCATTGTAACCTAATGGACAGTGACCTGGAATTGAGAGCCAAAAACCCTCCCTCCTCTAAACTGCTCTTTGTCAGGGTATTTTACCACAGCAACAGAAGTGAAACTAGAGCGTCACCCATGACCAGCCACAGTCTGCAGCCACTAAATTCCAGAGGGAATTTCATCCATCTTTAGTCATGTGTGGTTCTGAGTACGGGGATGAAATCCCTACTGACCATCGCTCAGTCCTGCTGGTAACATGGGTCATCCTTGTCCAGCAAGCCCACACTGCGTGCTGTTGTCCATCAGTCACTAAGCAGCCACTGTATGCATCAGCTTTGCAGGTGGGAGTGCATCACCGTGTTTGTACTCAAATGCCCCTTATTTTTCTTAATGTTCCCAAAGTACAAGATGATGTAGGCAACTGGGATGTGCTAAAGGGGAAGCTAAAGCTCATCCTTTCAGTGCAGAGATGAAAAGGCTGAATTAATTAATTTAGACAGGGTCTCACTATGTAACCCTGCTGACCTGGAAATTGCCATGTAGACCAGGCTGGCCTTGAACACAGAGACTCCCATGCCCCACTCCAGGGTGCTGTGATTAAAGGTATGGGTGAAAATTCTTCATCTTATTGTATGAATGTGTGTGTAAGAAAAGCATAGTGTATTTATGGGGTTCATACTGTACTTAGTTTCAGGCTGTCACAAGGTTTCCTGGGACCTATCCCCCATGAAGAAGGGGGAGGGGGTATCCTATTTTAGCACCTAGGAGAGTGCTGAGGCCTGGGATTGGCCCAGGGACTTCACATTCAGCAAGTACACTGCCTCCCACTTCTTTTCCTTGATAACAATTCTTATCTTCATTGCACAATAGCTGTGATATAATTTTAGCAGAACAGGAGGTTGCGTAACTGTTAGAGCGTGGCCATTAACCCTCCGCCCACTTTACTTCCTTTCCTTAGTCTGTGATGGTGTTTGAGACGATAGTTTACCTAAACAACTAGGTCTCAAGGCAGAGCACTTTTCCTGTGGAACGGTCAGTGCTTAGAAAGCCTCTTGTTCCCCGAGTCTGCAGCAGTTCACTGTGTCCTTGGAAGAACTTGAAGAGCTGTGCCGTGCAGGCAGAGCCGAGTCATTGATGCTTGCTCACACCAGACTCTGCCGCTTGGCTCTGGAGCTCTAGAGGGGGGCTTGAAAGGAGAGCTCTGATAGCAAAATAGGAATGAAGATTGTAGGTCCCATGTGTATGATGCGTGTCTTCTCCCACTTCTCCACATGTGTGTCCACAGATGTCTTGACAGGTCTCACTCCCGGTCAGTGAGACCCACAGCTGCTCTGTATGTTCCTTCTGAACATTTGGAACTACTCAGCACACACCATGAGAGAAGGGCTTTGTACAAGTCCAGCTGGGGAATGTAATCTCTGTCTCTGTCTCTCTCTCTCTCTGTGTCTCTCTTTTGGTTTTTCGAGACAGGGTTTCTCTGTGTAGACTTGGAGCCTGTCCTGGAACTAGCTCTTGTAGATCAGCTGGCCTCGAACTCACAGAGATCCACCTGCCTCTGCCTCCCGAGTGCTGGGATTAAAGGCTTGACCACCACCTCCCAGTGGGGAATGTAATCTTAATCTGACCAAGTTATCTCCTGCGCTTTCGGTTTTGATTACTGGCCTGCACTTCCTGTTCTGAGCATGGTGCTGTCATGCGCTTGAGAAGTGACACCATCTGTGGCACATTGAGATGTGACACCATCTGTGGCACAGGGCATTCCTTCTCCATGGAAGCCCTTGTCCCTCTTAAACTTCACTTGAATGGTGTTGAAGGCTTCTGGTTTATGGTGGATGCCATGAGGCCTAGAGTCTTTTTCATTTATTAGGACCATAACTTTATAGAAAAAGGAACTCATTGTTTAAAGACTTAGCTAAAACAAAGAAGAACTTGGGCACTCTGACAGTGCACCCCTGAAATCCAGCACATGGGGGGTGAAGTGGAGGCAGGAAGATGAGGAGCTCCTGGCCAGTCTTGGCTACATGAGAAGCTGCCTCAAACAAGTAACAAAAACCCAACCAACTCAGTGACAATCTCCTTTGTCACGTTCGTGTTTGACCAGTGCTCACATGCACACACATCTTGTAGCATCTGTTGCTAAAGTGTGCCCATAGTATGTTCTGTTTCCCTGCACTTCATAAGTTCAAAAGTGAACTGTCATACTCTTTATGCCCAGTATGTGAACACCAGTGTTTGTTCCCCAGAATGCTGAGGCCCTGGACCCACGAGGTCGGACGTTACTGCACCTTGCGGTTTCTTTGGGGCATTTGGAATCTGCTCGAGTCTTGCTGCGACATAAAGCAGATGTGACCAAAGAAAATGGCCAGGGATGGACAGGCAAGTATACATATTACTCATTCATTCATCTCCATGTCTCTGGTTGAAAGTGACAAGTCTCATTGGTGATTTACCTCTCAGTCAGCTGTCTCTCTCAGAGCAGTGGGTAGGGACGACAAGATGAAGGCAGGATGCTAGGCTTGCAGTCCTGAACCCTTGGTGGAAGCTGACTCCTTCCAGAAACGGCCCTTCCCAGCATCTGTCAGCAAAAGCCAGCTTTACCCTGGGGTATGGTAGGAACTCCACTGAGGCCAGTGAAATCAAAGATATTGGTGCCAGAAGCAGCCTCCTCTGGTGAAATCTTGGTGTTCACTCTTTGGACACCCTCTTACTATTAGTGACAATAGTTTTGTGTGGACTAAACAAGGACATTGTATGTGCAAATCCTACCTGCCAGATCGATGTCTAGTCACGACCGTGTGAGTACATGAAGAGGGTGTGATCAGGACAGTAAGCATGCTAGTTTTCTTTCGTGAAGTGATAAGTTAGCAATCAAAAGTCATGGTCTGTCTGCCTCATCAACTCCAATTTCAGCCCTCTGCCTTTCTGAGGTACATATTGAGCTGCACAGATGGCTTTTCATGATGGCACTGGAGTTTGTCAGAGAACATGAGAATATTAGTGATTCAGTTTCACCCTTTTGTTTTCTAGTTTTACATGAAGCTGTCAGCACGGGTGATCCGGAGATGGTATACACAGTCCTGCAACACCGAGACTACCACAACACATCCATGGCCCTCGAAGGTGTACCTGAGCTGCTACACAAAATTCTTGAGGTAACTATAAGACTGACCATGCCATAGTCTGAGTCAAACACTGCTGTGGTCACTGGAGACAGCCTTGTTTGTCTTCCTTAAGCCTTACGAATAGTGAATGTGGTGTTTTGTTGCCAAATAGTGCTGACTAACCTCTGCCTATCTAGCAGTGTAGGGCCTCGCTCTTACAAGCTATGTTTCTGAGGCATGATGCTTACCTTTCCAATGCCACTTTAAAATTCAAGCTGAAGGACAATGGATGTCAAACACAATTTGTTAGGGCCGTGTGTTCCTAACAGCAGAGCCCTGTGCTAAGGCAATCATGGAAATGGTAAAGGCACAATTGCTGTGCAGGCATTGACAGGGTCTGAGGAACCACATCTCCTCCCCACTCTTGTCTTTTCACTTGTAGCCACTAGTATGACTTCAAATCCATTTCCCGAATTCGTTTGCAGTTATTAGTTAGCCTGGGGGACATTGTCTATCTTGTGAATTGCAGTGTGAGAGCACTGTGGTTCTGAGGCCTTTCTTTAAAACCCAGTCACTCCTAAGCTTCAGGGGATGTTGGCTGCCCTTCTTTAGGGGGATCTCTATTTGAGCGATTGTCTCCGGAGCACTTATGGTATGCCCGGGCAGCAGTGGACACAGGCTGTGGAGATTCCATGTTCATTGTTCTGGGGTCTCAGCTTAAGCACAGAAGTGACTTTTCCTGGAATAGCTCCTTGGCTATTAGCTAGATCAGTCAGTTTTACAGCATTAGTTAAGGCACATTCTTGAGGAAAATGACTGTCTGGAGAGAAGGAAGAACTTGGCTATAAAGAAAGCAACCACTGGCCATTGTCTGAGCACTCTTTAGAACGGTTTGTATGAATCTTAAGAGAAATCCTGTAAAGATACATACTTATTTCTCATGTAACCATGATGCAACTTCCGTGAAGTATGAAGCAGTTACATATGTTTTAAAAATAGATATCTATGTAGGGGTGTGCAGAGCTCACATGGCTCTGCTGTTTTCTCAGCTGAGCTACTATAAGTGGAACCAAGTCATTTTTGGGTTTTGTTTGTTTGTTTGTTTGTTTTATTTTGTTTTTTTCTTGAAGCAGTATCCCATGTAGCTTAGGCTGGTCAGCCCAGGATGACTGAGCTTCTGGTCCTCCCACCTCCACCTCCCAAGCCTGGGATCACAAGTATGCACCATTCCTGGTTGATGTAGTGCTGGGATGGGGTTCAGGGCTTCTGGCCTGTGAGGCAAGTACTATATACACTGAGCTATGCCACCAGCCTTTCAATTGTCTATTTGACTAGGAAGAGTTAGGATTCAATGTAGAGGATTTTTTTAAGGGCCTATATTGACCCTTAGAAGTGGATTGCATTGCTCAGGGTAAATGGTTGTGTGTGTCAACAATGTCTCTTAGAACATATGTTGGCATTCCTTTCTTACCAGCTGTCCTTGGACGTTGTTGTTGCCTAATATTAAAACCTTGGCCGGTTTCACTCAGGTTAGATGTCCTTGCCTTCTGCTGTATGCAGGGGCAAAAACCAATGCAAAGCCTTGGTGGGAGAATAAGGAAACAATTCAATCTATAACCTGCCGCCCTCTAGACAGTCTCACTTTGTAGCCCAGTGCAGACAGAGCCTTGGAGGTGGAAAAGTAATGGAAAAATAAGGAAACAGTTTGATCTATATGGTGCCCAAGACAGGGTCTCACTGTGTAACGCCACCTATCCTGGAACTCACTCTGTAGATCAGGCTGGCCTCGAACTCAGAGATCCTCTTAGCTCTCTCTCCCAAGTTCTGGAATTAAACATGTGCCACTCTATGCCCAACACATCTCTGTTGGGTCTATTGGTCTGTTGGCTTTCTTAAGTAGCTCTTCAAGAGCCCTCTGTGAGAAATTAATGAGATGTGTACACACACAAAGTCCTAAAAACAAGGATGATGTGGCATGAAACTTCAGAAAGTCAAATTCTAAAGTTTAAGAGGGAACTGGGACATTGGTTAGGCGAAGGGAAACCCACTTCCTGAGGAGGTGATGTCTAGCCTCTCATTTTCATTTTCATTTTCGAACCATTGGCCAATAAATGTGGAGAACTTCCCAGCAGGTCCAGCCTTTTATAGTCAAGTTCCCCATAGAAGAGACAGCACTGAATTCCTTCTCTTTGCAGTGCATAGCGTCACCCACGTTATACAGACATTCTTGATTCTCTAATGCTGGGGGCCTGTTGATTCCACCCCAACCTTCAAGTTTTCAGCAGTCATTTTCTGCTAACTTTTTTCTTTTCTTCCTTTAAGTGGCATTTACATATTTGGAGGGAGGGGGTGCATGTATACCATAGCATGTATGTGAGCTTCCCAGGACATCTTGTGGGAGTTGGTTCTCTCCTTCCACCATGTGGATCCCAGAGAAGGAACTTGGGTCATCAGTCTTGGCTGCTAGCACCTTTGCCCACTAAGTCATCTAGTTGGTGCCTCTTAGCTTTCTTAGCTGTCTGGAAGTATTTTCATCAGGGCAAAGTAATAAATAAGATGCAAATTATTTGTTTTAGTGTTCATAGTTGCTTTTTCTCTCCTCCTTTAATTGTTTAGGAAGCTACATTAACCCTGCTATGCTTGTTTGGTTGATCATGTCATGGGTCACCTATTATAAACCTTTGTCTGCCCTTCAGGCCCCGGATTTCTATGTGCAGATGAAATGGGAGTTCACCAGCTGGGGTGAGTGGCTGTGGGCTTGGGATTTGTTTGTCTCCAAATTTACATAGACTTTTGATAGGTTTATGTTCTTTTGTAAAATGCTATGTGTGTGTGTCTGTCTGTCTGTCTCAGTGTGGTGTAGGTGTGTGTATTTTACATCCAAATCTGGTAGGTGACCTGCATTCCCATTTAGTTTCCTCTGGTCTGTCTTTTTGAGTATTGGACTGTTGCCCTGAACACGTCTAAATACAGCATACAGACACTTGTCTCTTCCTTGCATTGTGTATCCCCAACACCCACTTTATTAGTTTGATTGCTTTTTATTATTTATAGGGGTGTACAGAATTGGGTTGCTATAGTCTTGCCTGGCAATTCAACTCTATGTAGCCCATGCTGGCCTCAGATCCTTGTCAGTCCTCCTGCCCCTCAGCCTCCTGTGCTGTGATCATAAGTGTGTACCGAAGCTTGCAGCTTCCTTGAGAAGCAGGGTTTGGTTGTGGCCTCTGGACCTGGGCTGAAGCAACCCTCTTGCCTCAGCTGGGACTAGGCATGTACCAGTCACTCTGCCTGGCCATCTTACTAGTTTTAAATGCCTGTTTGTAATACTAACTTTTCCATGACTTACTACAGTTTGTTACTTTTCTTGTTGTTTAGCTTGATTCCTTGATTCTTTCAAGCTTGTTGTTCTTGTGGAAATGAGACAAATATTTGGAATCGTTTTCTGGTTTTTTTTTTTTTTAATTTAATTTTCTACAAAAAAATGCATGTATTTACCCAGAATACACTGTAAGGCAATTGATGACATATTTTCACAGGTATCTGCTTTTCTTTCTTGTAGCTCAGTGAACTAACACTTAGTTTTTATAGCTTTTTCATCTCACTAGGATTTCCAGTTTTGATAAAAAGCAGATTATAGAGCCTTGATATATTGTGAGAGGAGGTTTTAATGTGGGAGCAGTGGCCACACAGCAGATGTGTGAGTGAGAAGGCCAGACGGGCGCACTCCTCACTCAGCCCTGGGAGGTCAGTCCAGGCTGAGAGACCGCTGGGAAGTCCGTTTACTCTTTTCTCTAATGTGCTGAAATAAAAGACTCATTTTTCTTTATTTTTAGTTATTTTTTAATGCTGGGAATTGAACCCCAGGCCTGTTTCACACTAAGCATACACTGTACCACTGAACTACACCTGTAGCCTTCCTGTTGTCTGTCTGTCTGTCTGTCTGTCTGTCTGTGCTGCTGAGATTGAACTTAATGTATACAAGTGACCTGTCACAGGAATATATAACTCCAGCCACTTAATTTGTTGTTGTTGTTTAAAATGGCCATACTAGGTTGTCCTGGCTAGCCTCAAACTTGCTGTGTGGCCCAGGCTAGCCTCGAAATGGAACTCCTGCCTCAGCCTCTTAAGTGCGATGAGTGGAGGCAGGCTTCACCTTACCCAGCTTCCATTTCTGGTTTTCAAGATGAGTTCCTTTACAAGTGTGAAGGGAGAAGTCCCGTTGTGTTTGACCAGTCATGACCTAACTAACCACTCTGCCCCGTTTACTAATGTCAGAACCCCCAAGTTCCTGGCTCACACATTCTGCTGAGCCCTGTGTTTTTCTCAGTAATATGCCTCTCTCCTCCAGTGCCCTTGGTTTCTAGAATATGCCCAAATGATGTTTGTCGAATTTGGAAGAGTGGTGCCAAGCTTCGTGTGGACATCACTTTGCTGGGGTTTGAAAACATGAGCTGGATAAGAGGGAGACGGAGTTTCATATTTAAGGGAGGAGGTAAGTGACTCCATTGTAGTAATCCCTGCTCAAGCCAAGCCTCAGGGTCACTTCGTTGTCATCACTGAGACAGGGTCTCACTGTGTTGCCTTGGTTGACCTGGAGCTCTCCCTATAGACCAGGCTGGCCCTGGGGTAAAGGTGTGCACCACCACGTCCAGCAGCACAGAACTGTGAGCCATCCAAATGTGTTTGTATCTGTTCAGTACTTTGTCTTTGTGATTGTTGTAATTGGCTATTTGGCTCTTCACGCCTCTCGTTTTGGAGATTGGCTAGTTCCCCTGCTCGTTCCACTCATTACTTAACACCAGTTGTCTGTCACATGTGCGATAACTCACTTTCCTGTGCCTTGGAATAGACATCTCTGTCTGTGGCATTCCATATTCCCTTCATAACCGGGCAGGACTCTGCTAGTGAAGGACGAAAAGGAGCACTGCTCACCAGAGTGGTGAACAGACCATTTACATGAACTGTGCAGCATTGTTTCCTAAAGGTCATAGGTGAAATGTGTTCCTAATGAAAATTACCTTTAAATTCTCCATGCTCTGGGGTCTCCTCGAGTTGTAGAGAGCTGGCCAGACAAATACTGTGCAAGGAGAGCCAGTAATCAGGAATCTTGGAGGTGAGGTACTCAGTGGCAGTATACGTCTTGTCACCCTGAGCACTGGTTCAGTCTCCACCATCTGGGGGGGGTGGTGGTGGCAGGGGCAGCGCAGGGAGAAAAAGCCAAACAATGTACTGTAGGTTTGCTAGCAGTGACTCTGAGGGGTGAGGGGTGCAAGTGGCATTGCTGACTTTCTCCTCACACTAGCGTTCTTGTTAACAGACAACTGGGCGGAGCTGATGGAAGTCAACCACGATGATAGAGTGGTCACCACTGAACATTTCGATCTTTCCCAAGAAATGGAGCGCCTCACCCTGGACCTCATGAAGCCAAAAAGCAGGGAGGTTGAGCGGCGACTCACAAGCCCAGTCATCAACACCAGCCTTGATACTAAAAATATAGCCTTTGAAAGGTAGGGATTAGACCCCAGCTTGCCATCTAGTCTGGGCCTGCTTCATTAATGGCATGTATTCAGTAATAGAGTTGTGACTGGACTAGAACCTTGTCTTTCCTAATATGGTTGAGCTAGTGGGTTTTAAGGGAGATCCCTAATGCTAACCGAATAAGAGTCATAATTGATGTTGTGTGTGCATCATTTTTGTAGCATGGTGTTGAAATCTTGTCTTTGTATGTTTCTGTGGGTACTGTCTTCTGAATTCCCTGGATCTTATTTTCATTTTGGTGATTTTGGTTGCACAACACTCCTTCATCCCAAAATGTGGAATGTGAGTTTCCTGAAGCTAGAATTGGCATTGACATTGTATTAAACTATGTTGACATTAGGCAGTCACATTTTTACTCTCACTGTAATGTATTGTCTCCCCCCCCCCACTCCCCCCCCACACCTGTGAGGCCCAGTCATGTAGAAGAGTCTGAAGGGCAGCCATTCTTTCCAGGTCCTATGAGGACAGCTCTCCAGAGAGGCCTGTGCCTTGGTCCACCCCAATGACACACTGTTCCTAGCATCCACCTGTGGGGCATGCTGGGCGGTACAGAATGCTTTAAGCATGAGGGAAATAAAACTGTCACACATCTCTGGCATGGAGCACAACAAACTAAGGAAGTCTGTAGTGTCCCTGGTCTTTGCCTAGGATGTCACATCTGGCTGCCTCTGACTTAATGTGACCTGAGCTAATCTGGACACTTAAGGATCTAGGCATTCCTCTCTCTCCATGACTATTGCTAACCGATCTCTTTAAATTGTTTCCTTCTGTTTCCAATATACAAGTGGCAAAGAAAACCGAGAGATGTCTCTTTAGTCAAATCTAAAATGTAATTGCCCTTTTCTTTTTGTTTAAATAAAGCCACGAAATCAGGGTGTCTGTAACAGAGGCTAGATGTGCAGCCTGTGTTGTGTCTGGGGGCTTCTTCTGCTTTGGAAGTGGGAACTGGATTCCTGAAGAAGCAAGTCCTCTTGCCAGGCTCCTGTCTAGGCGCATTGAGGGTTAGGGACTGACTGTGGGATCACCCACAGGGCTCTTGCTAGATGTCTGAGGCTTCAGTGTGTGCCTCTACAGCGGGGAGACCCTTCAGTGTGAGGCTCTAGACTGGAGGAGACCATTGTCACCACCACAGCCTATCAGCAGAGATGAGAGCAGGACAACTAGCAGCAGTGGCCATGGGCAAGTGGCCCAGCTCTCCAGTTTCGTCAGCGGGAAGAAAAACAAGCAAGTGGGCTTCAGAACAAAGCTCCCGAGACCTTTGATCCTAAGGTTGAGGTTCACTGTGACCTTCCCTGCAGGATTGTTAGAGCCATTGTTTGCCACGAATGTGACTTGTCCAGGGCCTGTGGACTGCACTGGCTTTAGTCCACTGAGTGGAGATGGGAAACAAGAATGCCTTCCTTTGTACTGAGGACGAAGGTACATTGTGTATTCGTGTGGTAGCAGGGTTTTCAGACAGCTCAAGCTGGCTCTCTTGACGCTGACAGTGGGCTGAATCAAGAATTCGAGAAGGCAGCTGTTGGTTCAGTTCTGTTGTGATGATGCTCATATGCGGTCAGTGGATTTAGGCATAAATAGAGATTTGAGACACTCCTGAGTGTGAGGTCTGCCAAGTCAAAGATATATGCACAATGATGATTGTGGCTCTCCTTGTGGTCCTTTGTCATGTTGTCCTTTCCCTTGGTCTGCATCAGGAGTGTGATGCTTACAAATTGCTACACTCCCTGATGAGCTTAGGCAGGCGGTATGTACTGGGCACACTTGGGATTTTCCTCTTTTTCTGAAAGATTATCAAGAACAAAGCTCCTGAGAGCTTTGTTCATATCATATCATATCAAAAAAAAAAAATCCCTATCACTTCAGAGCTGCCATTAAATTGTATGATAGTCACCAAGCCACAGTGCCTGCTAAGTGGCCTTTGGTGTGTTGGTGTCAGGTGTCAGGAACAGGCAGGAGGAAACTGGTTGCTCTGTCATCTTTAGATGCCTGTGCATGCAGAGCTAACAGGAGGCACAAGGAGTCATAGCCGCTGAGTTTAAAGTAGGGTCTTCCTTTTATGATGGGTTAAAACAGACATTAAAACTCATTATGTCCCCTGATTTGATTTACCAAATTCCATTAGAAAGGAAATCAGAAACATAAATGTGAAAGCTGCACTCTGCTTTTGTGACTTGGCTAACTTGCCATCATTCTCTGAGCTTCCTATGTCCACTTCACTTGGTCAGACAGAGCAAAGGGTAGACTTTTGAAACTCCACACAGTGCCAGGCAAAGCAAGGATGTGATATCCTAGACAAAGGGGGTGCTGGTTGGACTCCTGAGGGGAAACACCTCCCAGTGGCAAGGTGCTCTGAAAACGAATCACACCCAGGAGAAATGGGAACCTCTTGCCTGTAATTCTAGCACTTTGGATGTGGAGACAAGAGGCTCATGAGTTTGGGACAAGCCTGACCCATATAGCAACATCCTATCTTTAAAACACAACACATAAAAGAAAAATAATCAAAACCTAGAGGCTGTTCTTGGATCCTGAATGTGTTTTCTCCCAGAAGTGTGTGGCTCTGGGTAACTGGGTTTCTAAGCACATAGCCCAAACTGCAGCTGTGACTGCACCCTGGGCTACTCAAAATTCGACCATAGATTGGAATCAGTAGCTGGGATGAAAAAAACCACTTTTCATGTCCTTCCCCAGTACTGACCTGATGGACACATTACTCTGCAATCATTGTGAAAGCTTTAATGGCCTTCTCTAGCCTCAGCATTGTTATGGGTTCCTACTCCATCTGCCTTTCTTCAAGAGGTGGGAAGCTCTGGGCTTCACTTCTGAGAATTCCTGGGTGGAGATGGAGGCTCTTATACCCCTGCCTGCAGTAGATAACCCAGATAAATGCTCTGACCCAGATTCCTCCTTGTAGCAAGCAAGACCTTAGACACTGGTCATCTTCACTCATGTCTTTAGGATAGATGTCCAACAAATGTCACCTTTGTCCCCTGTGCTGGCAGTTCCTGTTTAGAAGCCAAGAGTGCAAGCTTTCTTTGCCTGGAGTGAGGCAAATTGATTGATAACTGTGGGAGGTGGGTGGGGGGTGTCTAAGCCATCTGTCATGGGTAGCATCCTTTTGTGGACAATGGGACCATGATTTCCAAGTGTCCTTGACTAACTTAAGCTGGGGACTGTAAAGCTGCAGGGGTAAACTCTGAATGGCATATTGTACATGTGGAAATTTGTGGTGTTCACTTTTTATCAGAACTAAATCCGGATTCTGGGGCTGGAGGACAGATAAAGCAGAAGTTGTTAATGGTTACGAAGCAAAGGTAAAAGGAAACTCTTAAAATAAGATTGTTATAGCTTTGTAGCTGCTATGCAAATGAGGAGTCTATTCTGATTGTCCTGTGCACCTGTGCCAGAGGACCCCTGGGGATAATTCTAAAGTGTCTCTTACTTTAAGATGTCCAATCTTAGTGATTTTCAGAAAATGGGGTAGCATGCCCTGAGCAGGTCCATAGCTTCCCTAAAGAGAAATGATTGTTGAGAAATGAGCGAGTCATTCCTTTGATTCTATTTTTTTACATTAAATGTCATCGGTCTATCTTTTTAAAGAAGGTACCTTGTAGTCAGTAGCGTTTGTGAGTCTTTATTACTTTAAGTTTAGTTGATTCTAGAGCTGATGCTGTCTCAGTTTTTAAAATATCAATCCCACCCCCTTACATGGCATCAGTGAACTGAAATACCACTGTAATTGTAGGGATGCCTGTCTATCATCTGGCACTTTTATCAGTTGACCGGCCATTTGCTGGACTTTCCTTGGTGTGCAGAGGGGATGAAGGGAGCCAGGTACTGTAGGGTCCTCTGCTGGCCTCTGAGTGAACAAAACAGCTCCACCATGCTCAGCGAGCTGCATTTAGAAACAGCAGCCGTAGTACAGGCTGCTTCTGCAGCTATCAGCACAGCAGACCCAGACCCTCAGACAGCACTGAGAAAACCACTTACTCTGGCAGGTAGCAGTCTTTTTCTTGTCAATGTCTCTGACCTCCCAGGTCTAGAGAACCTGGGTTCAGCTAAGTCAGTAGTTAGAAGAGCACCACAGGTCACAGGAGGCAGGTTTAGGAGCAAGAGGAGCCCTGTGGAAACCCTATTTGCAGGTTACCTGCTGAGACCCTTTAGCATTAAGAAGGAAGGGCAAGTAACTGCAAGTAACTGTCTCTCCATCTGGAGGAGACTGGGGGTTGTTGACAGAATCTCACTTTTATTTTGCTGGAATTGCTTGATTTTTGCTTCAGCATTCTTGGTCTTGCTATGCTTGAGTTGGCTTTTGATTCCCTGTGTCACTGTTGTCTTTTGGACGCATCTCTCAAGGTTTACACAGTGAACAATGTGAGTGTGATAACCAAAATACGTACAGAACACCTGACAGAGGAGGAAAAGAAGAGATACAAAGGTAATCACCGCCACCCACCTCTTTTCCCTGATGATGGACTGATTGTATAGAGCAGTATTCTCAATCTTTCTGATGCTGCGACCCTTAACACAGTTTTTCATGCTGTGGTGACCCCAACCATGACATTATTTTCATTACTACTTTGTGACGATAATTTTGCTACTGTTACAAGTCATAATGTAAATATGTGTGTTTTCTGATGGTCATAGGCAACCCCTGTGAAAGGGTTGTTTGACCCCTAACGTGGTAGTGACCCACAGGTTGAGAACAACTGGTCTAGCAGAGCTCTGTTTAGCTTGAGTTAAATGTGTGAACATACAAATTCTAACTTTCCTTTGTAAGCAATTTCCTTAGTTTGACTCATTCTTGGAGTTTTTCACAGTTGGTTTCAGTTGTAATTAAAGCCATTCATGAGGGCTTGTCTATGTGTTATTGCAGATAACTGTTGGATTTAGCAGCAACAACAATAAAAATGGAGTGTGAGAAGATATTGGGTGATATTATCACTGGGATGAGTGACTTTGCCTCCATTATAGTGATGAGATTTTCATAGAACTTGGGCTCTCGGCCGAATCACCATGGATATGTGGTTATTATATGCTGGCTTTGCCAGCTCTGTGGCCTTGTGAAGTGGTCCATGCTGTAGACCTCATTTGCCTGTGTAGTTAAATGGAGGTGATGCTAAGCCATTCTTACAGTTGCTGAGAAGATTCGATGAGTTGCTACATGCAAACATCTAGGAAGGGCAGGTAGCTACTAGCTACCAGCTGTGCTCCAGGTGGGCAGGCCAGTGCCAGAGCACAGCACTGAGTGGCCAAGGTGAAGGGATCCACACCCTAAGCCAGGTGCTAAACTCTGCTTTTTTTGGTTATTTTGAGACAGGGTTTCTCTGTGGCTTTAGAGGCTATCCTGGAACTCAATCCTTGATCTGTAGAGTGTGCTGGTCTCGAACTCACAGAGATCTGCCTGCCTCTGTCTCCTGAGTGCTGGGATTAAAGGCACGTGCCACCAACACCCAGCTTGAATTCTTGTTTCTGTTTTTTCATTTCCCTAATTGATATATGTTAATCATATATAACAATGGTTTCCTTGGTGATACCGTTGATTATTACAATGGTCCCCCAGGCTAAAGCTCCTAATGAGAAGATACTCTAAGGATAAACTCACCTTGTGGGTAGTTTTGATTGTCTTGATCTTCCCTCCTCTCTAGAGGACCGGAATCCACTGGAGTCTCTGCTGGGAACTGTGGAACATCAGTTTGGTGCTCAAGGGGTGAGTTGAAGACAGGGTATGCAGTGTGGCAGCCACAGGGTCCTGGCTAGGTCACGTGACTTGGGAAGTACCATCAGTTCCCAACATGTACCACGGATAGGATATTATTTTGGGAGAGTATTAGATGAATGAGACTTTGAAAAAAAATCAAGATTTTAGAGAAAGGGTAGGTCCTAGAATTGGGCTCTCCCTCATCTGTGATAAGCAAGGGCCTTCTCTGCATGTGGCTCTTGAGACAGGCTTAGGGCTTTATGCTGCTCAGCAAGCATTTGGTGCAGTGGGCGCCAGCTTCCAAACCCACACCTGCTCACATGATTCTGTGTTCTATATCAAGGAAGTAAAGCTGGGAAGAGGGTGTGAACTCAACCGGGAAGGCTGTTAGACTTGCTTGTTTGTGTACTGACATAACATTAGTGAAGCCAGTTGTGTGGCTGCACGGTAGAATCCAGTACTCAGTCCTGACTCTCCTGACTTCTGGCTCAGCAGGACCTCACTACTGAGTGTGCCACCGTGAACAACCCCACGGCCATCACACCCGATGAGTACTTTGATGAAGACTTTGATCTGAAAGACAGGGACATTGGAAGGCCAAAAGAGCTGACGATCAGAACACAAAAGTAAGTGGAGGTGTGCTACCATGGTCACCTGGGACCGTCTGAAATTGCACTGTCAGGGTTGGGTTTGACCATGCCTTGCTCCTTCTCTTTAAAAGCAATGTTGACATTACTTAACCTGACAAAATCCAACAGTTAATGGCTCTCTGCTTAGCCTTTGTCATAGAGAACAGATAGGAGAGCACCTTTGTTTTCTATATTCTATTCCCTGCCAGTAAACCTCAGCGGATCAGATGAAATGCTGTTGGGCCCTTTCCCTCCACTGTCAGATCTCAGGACCTTCCAGTCCCTCAAAGTCCTGAGTTCAGGGATCATGAGGAGGCCTGGGGGTTTTAGAGGGTGCTGTCTAGACTGCTGAGTAGCAGTGACCTGCCTCTTCCAGTCGGGGGAGGTGGTTTCAGCCCTCACTCTGTCAAACCCTGCAGGTTTAAAGCTACTCTGTGGATGTGTGAAGAGTTCCCACTCTCCCTGGTGGAACAGGTCATTCCCATCATCGACCTCATGGCACGAACCAGCGCTCATTTTGCAAGGCTGAGAGACTTCATCAAACTGGACTTTCCTCCTGGATTCCCTGTCAAAATAGGTGTGCTTAAATAAGATAGGTGTGGTTAAATGAATTGAGGGGTATTTGCAGGCTCTGCCTACTTGTTGAGGACCAAATGTGCTTCAGGGAAATAGAGCATATTAAGGAGAAATTAGCATCAGGGTGTGATGGCACACGCCTTTAAACCCAGCACTCAGAGACAGAGACAGGTGGATTTCTGTGAGTTTGAGGCCAGACTGGTTGACATAGTAAGTTCTAAGATAGCCAGGGCTATGTAGAGAGACCTTGTCTAAAAAAGTGGGGGAGGAAAAAAAAACCCAAAACCAATAACATTAAAAAAAAATAGCAGAGCTGGGGAAGTGTGGTGTCACATATCATTAAATTCAGCACTTAGAGACAGAGGTAGGTGGATCTCTGTGAGTTCTCAGCTAGCCAGGGTTACATAGAGAGACCCTGTCTCAAAAAACAAAAAACAGAAAGAACAAGTTTACATACAATAATCAGAATGGAAGAGGTCAGAATTAGCCTTAGGCTTGACTGGATTTGAAGACTAGGCATGATGCTTGATTCCTTTTATCAAAATGAAAGGGTTTCCACCAGTAGTTCTGTGTGCAGATGGTACCAGCAGCCCTAAGACAGTACTGACAAACAGGCGTAAGAGGGCCAGGAGTGGTGGTGCATGCCTGTGATCCGAGTACCCAGTAGACAGGCAGGGGGATATGTATGTGCAGGTCAGAGCTACATTATGAGACCTATCTCAAAAAACAAAGCAACCCTTCTTTCCTCTCCCAAAAATAAAGAATATGAATTCTTGTTTAATGCCACACCTTTAATGTAAGAAAACGTCACAGTGGATAATTTTAAACTTTTGGATTATTTTTAATATTTTGTTAATGCTTTGATAATTCTGTGGGGGGGGTATGCGTGTTGGGGGGGTATGCGTGTGGGAGGTATGCATGCATGTGGGGGTATGCGTGTGTTGGGGGGTATTCGTGGGGAGGTATGCGTGTGTGGGGTATGCGTGTGTGGGGAAGTGTGCAGGTGGGGGGTATACATGTGGGGGGTATGCGTGTGTTGGGGGGTATTCGTGGGGAGGTATGCGTGTGTGGGGTATGCGTGTGTGGGGAAGTATGCATGTGGGGGGTATACATGTGGGGGGTATGCGTGTGTTGGGGGGTATTCGTGGGGAGGTATGGGTGTGGGGGGGTATACATGTGTGCTTTTCATCACATTCATATCCCTGTCCTCTCACAACATAACTACTCCTAGATTCACCCCTCACAGCTAGATAGTTTTTTTTTTCTTTTTGGTTTTTCAAGACAGGGTTTCCCTGGCTTTACATACACATGCTTTAGCTTTTGGACCCATGTGGACAAGGCTATTTTGGATTTTGGATGATTGAATAGTCATGACACTTGACTCCTGCTTTGATTACCACTCGCTGTGATTTAGGAGAAAGTTCTTCACCTGGGTCTGACCCACTCTCAGTTTTCCCATGTGGAGGGGGGGGGCGAGGGGCAGGGGAGTACGGTAAAGTGTGCTTTGTGTCGTGTGAGCCAGTGATTATGGTTCTCAGTGAGGTCTACTGATAGAAGCTCTTACTTTGTCAGAGATCCCCCTGTTCCACGTTTTGAACGCAAGGATTACATTTGGAAACGTTAATGGCTGTAGCACTGCTGAAGAGAATCAGAGTATGGAGGGGATCCAGGCTGACACAGGTACAACCCAAAGACTTCGTTTGTGCTTTAAAACCCTGTCATACCAAACAGTTTAAAGTAAGTCTGTGATGCATAGGGGGAAAGTTTAGATTAAATGGAAAGCAACTTATAGAGCACTGTATCAGTTTTGTTACTGTGACAAGGACTTGGAACAACTGGAGGAGGAAGAATATACATTTCGGCCACGGTTTCAGGTCAGTCTGTTTGCTCCATTTAAGAGAAGAGCCTCCTGCTCGATCTCTTCACTTTACAGTCCACCAAGATTCAGGGTTAGGATTATATGTTAGTTTCCACCAAGAAAAATCAAAGCACAACGAAAAACTGTGTTCTGGTGAATTTTACAATCACAATTGTTCTTTTGAAGTCTTCCAATAGCAAATTGACTAATACTACCTTCATCTTTTATGTTTTATTATTTGCAGCACTGAATCAGGAGCCTCACATGCTGGCAAGCACTGTCCTACTCAGCTACACCCTGGCTCCTGGGTTGTGACTGGTTTCATTCTTTTAATTTGAAATGTTTTTAAGCTGGGTGCAGTGACTTATTCCTGTAACCTCAGCACCTGGAGGCCGAGGCAGAAGGATTTGAGTATAGAACTGTGAAGTCAGCATGAGCATTGCAGTAAGATCCCCATGTCAGGAAAGAACGGTCAAGAAAACACACCACACACACACACACACACACACACACACACACATGAAAACACACGAAAACACACCATAGAATGAGATAGGAGGATTATGTGTTTGCAGCCAGCCTGGGCGGTTTTGACTTTGACGCCAGCTTGAGCTACATAGACCCTGTCTCATTAAAAAAAAAAAGAAAGAAAGAAACAAAAAACCAACTGAAAGAACAAAATGGTCTGAATTGGTTGCAATGAGTGGAGACACTGGACAGTTGCCTTTGTCTTTCAGCTTCCGAGGTCACAAACTTCGAGGTTGATCAGTCTGTGTTTGAAATCCCCGAGTCCTATCATGTTCAAGACAATGGAAGGAACATGCATCTCCAAGATGAGGACTATGAAATAATGCAGTTTGCAATCCAGCAGAGCCTTCTGGAGTCCAGCAGGAACCA